TGATACTTGAGAGTTAAGGTTGTCTGTTCAAATAAACGTAGGAAATTTTACTTTTGAGTGCTTAATTTCTCAATCTTAACACTGAACTATGACCTGTGGAAAGAAGCACATTCTTCTTGTGAGTGCAAAATTGAAGCCAGCTCAGGTATGACCTCCTCCCCCCCTGAACTAGCTGAAATGTAATGAGAAAAATATTTCTTCTATTAGAAGACCTGCTATATAAGTTACTTTTGCCCAGTTATTAGCAGAAGGTAATATTTGACTTGATCAGTCCATCACAGCTCGAAAGGAGGGCCTAAAATTCACAAAATACTGTTTCCATGGCAGTAGTTTCAGTAAGAAAACATCTAGTGGTAGGGAATATTACTGGAGGTGTTGACTTCATCAGCACACTGAATCTGGTAGTTTATTTCTTCTTTCTTGACATTTGCAGTTTACTTTCCCTTCTTTAATATCGTTGGGAGGTTATCTAACTAAAATAGTTTGTCTGTGCTCAAACTAAGTACTGGAGAAACAGGCACAGTAAGGTACAGAATTGCTAGATGAATGTGTTTGCTGGACAATATATAGTTTAATAGTTCTACATTGCTTAAGAAAATGATATTCAGAGTGGGTAGAAGGGAATGGAATATAAAGTGTTTGAAGGATAGTCATATTTTAAAACCAAATTTTGGTTTGGTTAAAAAGAGAGTGGGAGGCAGGGCAGTGAGAATAATGTAATGTTTATGGAAATGTTTTCCATGATTTTTTGGGAGTAGGAGGAGCAGGAGAAGCAATAGAGACAGATTGTTTAATGAAGACATTTCCCTGCAAAGGTAGGTGGAGAGAAAGATACAAAGAATGTGAAACTGACCAGATCTAGTTTTGTTGTCCAAACTGCATAAAGTGCAAAAAGTAAACACAATATAAAGTAGAATGAAGAAATGAAAAATTAAAAGAAAAATACTTTTCAAATTCTAATGGGTTGCTGGGTAATTTTTTAATACTGATTTTTATCTGAACAATGCTTCTTTAGTGTTCAGAGACATCTGGAACTGGCAAGATTTGCAATTGCTGAAGTTATAACTATTGCCACTAGAAAGCACATATATATGTGTCAGCCCAACATACTGTTTGATCCTCAGGTAAATATTTCATTTCCTTCTATGGTAAATCCTTCCAAGGATTGTGTGTGCTGATGTACAGTTGGACTTGATGCCAAAACTCAGGGACATTTTAATGTTAAAGGGTACCGTAAGCTGCCTACACCTTCCCTCCTTACTACAACACACACACACACACACACACACACACACACACACACACACACACACACACACACCCCTCACGCATGCATGCATGAATGAATCCTTCCACTACAGCCAGGAAGTCTGCAGGGAAGAGAACTCAGCCTTTCTGAAGAAAGACTCTAGGATGCAGCATCATTTTCAGAAGTGTTGAGTCGAGGAGGATAACTGATAGAAAGAGAGAGTCCATGAAATACATGCTGTTTCTGGTGTCAAGATGAACTCCAGTGTACCTGGATCCTGATACGGCTGCACTGGATGCTTCAGTTTTGGATGTGAAGCAACATTATTAAGGGATGCAGCTGCACCAGTGAATTCCTATTTCTACAGCTTCTGTGCTATGTTAGCCTATCTACTGTAATTTCCACTGGTACAGATGAGACAAAACTGTTTAAAAATAGAGTTCCCCAGAAAAGAAGAAACAGAATATAAATGAAATACCACCACCATAACTAAAATGATAAAAAGATTTTGGCCCTGTAGTGGTTGGGTGCTTAAATGCATTAATAAAAGGCTCTAAATATGGAATAAGAAATAATAAAATAAGGCCCATGGTATAAATAATTATTTGAAAGGTCTGTTAATTTGTCCTATGAAAGCACAAGATGGCAGCATTAGTAGTGCCCCAGAACAAAGTGAAGGTTTCTGGAATTTTGTAGGCCTCTCTAACCACACAAACCTCTTATCAGAGGAGGTAGAATAGTTTATGCACTTAATAAACTTCCCAAAAGAGAGAAGGAACCAAAGACACTGATCTGAGGAAAAGCACAACTCGGTGCAAATGCACAGCGTGGCATTCACTCTGGTGCAAGGGCTCAGGAGAGCCACTCAGTACTGTTTAAGCTTCCTAGTACAGTAGTTCTTGTGGAGCCAACAATAGAGCATAGGGCAGAGGGAGAACGGAGTGCCAGAAAGGGTCTGTGTGGAGGCCATGCATAAGTCTGCATGGAGGATGGCGATGGGCAAGGGACAGCAGGGTAAAGCCACCTGATGCCACAGTGAGAGACAACTGTATAAGACAGACAGACAAAGTATTTAAGCACAAAAGGCTCAATCCAAAGCTCACTGAAGTCAAAGGAATGACTTCTGTCAATGTCAATGGGCCTTGGCTCAGGCCCCATTGTGGGGTACCTCAAACAACTGGATATTGACCCACTATCAACATGTACTGCAGTTCTACACAGAATTATCCTAGACCACTAAGCCAAACTATGGGATAGATTAATACGGGATATTTTGCACTGAGTAGGGGGTTTATTTTAAAATTACATCCTATTCAATTGTATGATTCATTCACTTCCAGACTGTAATAGCCCTATTTCCCCCCAAATTCTCTCTTCTCTCTGCAATCCCTCTTGTATTTTTCTTATATTTCTCACTAACAACTGTTTAGTAAAATATCTACATAAATAAAACATGGAAAACCAGCTCACCTATGACGGATACACATCCTAATGGAGCTATAAGGGTGGCTGGAGCAAATCCATAAGCTGCAGCGTTTCCCAGCTCTCCAAGCCCCATGAGGATAATTCCACACCACCACAGCTTGCTTGTGTAATAGGGCTTTTGATTTGCTTGGCATGCCAGTCGGAGATGAGCATATTTCTGGAAATTAATTATTAGGAACAGATGAAAAAGAAGCTTTCATTGTGTTAATACATAGAATGAAATTTGAGTAATTAGGGGGCCTGTCAACTGCAAATTCCAGGTACATCAAGATTTCGTCTTTTTTTAAAATTAGTTTCAGTTTGATGTTGCAGACATAGTGCTTTGTACTAATACAGTGCTACTTTGGCTTGATGCTTCCTTAACCAAATACCCTGGTTTGAAAGGATGAAAAATCTACCCCACTAGAAAAAAAATATCAAGGCACTCTGAAGTTAATATATAGTCTAGGTGGCTAGCACTACAAGCCTCTGGTGTTATCTCAAAGGGTTTTTCAGGAAGAAAAAAAAATTCCCAGGGGAGCCTAAGCGGCAATGTATGAAGCTGAAGCCACAAACTAGGTGAAGTTGGCCATAGAGGAATGTGCTCCTTCTAGCAGATCCATTAAGTGGCTTCAAAGGAGCTTAAGAATAAAACTGTGCAACTAAGCCTGGCTAGTATCAGGAGGAACTGGCATTCCTTTCACACAAGACAGAGGCCTATTTCTGCTCACCTAACTCATGCATGACTTTAGTAGGATCACACACATTAGTAAAGCAAGCAGGATTTGGGCCATGATCACCTGCTATACAAACAAACAAACAAACAAACAAACAAACAAAAACCCGCACATTGTAAAGCATAATCTGGATTGGCTTAGTCTCAGTGAAAGAAAGTTTGTCAACACTGTCTATGTTCCAAATGTCTTAATTTCTATTTCAACAGTACTGTATAACATAGGCAAATAACAGTTTGTCAACACCTTTTTCTACAGGGCAGAAGTACTATTTACTTGCATGGTAATTGTTTTCTATTTAGTTTTACACCTTAAATTGTGCCGTGACCGGATGTGCCGTGGTCATTCGGGTCTTCTAAAATAGGGTTCTGGCTGCACTGAAATCACTTAAAGGAGTGAGTAGATGATAGTCAAGAATGTATAATTATTGGGTGGATATGCAATTTTCACTATGCTAGTCTTGCTAGTTCGTGATACCCTGCCTATCACGCTGCCTAATATTGTCTCAGTTTCTCCCATCTGTCTGTATCCATCTGTTGTCTCTTGTCTTATACTTAGATTACAAACTCTTTGGAGCTGGAACCATTTTTTTGTTCTGTGTTTGTACATCATCTAGCACAATGGGGTCCTGGTCTATGACTAAGGCTCCTAGGTACTATGTTACTACAAATACATACATAAATAATCATCTATATGGTCCCACATACAGAGCCAAATTTCTCACCAGCCCTTCTGCACAGTATAAGAGGTAGTAACCAAGAGAGTTGGTGTTACTGCTCTACCTAGAACTAGTTGGGAAAATGCCTTTTTCCTTGTGGAAAATTTCAGTTTTTTGGCAAAAAAATTCTAAAACCAAAACATTTTGATTTGGAAATGCAGATGCAGTGCCTCATGGGAGTTGTAGTTCAGGTGTCCTGTTCTCCTCTAGAGGCTGGGCTCTCTGGTCAGATGACATCTCCCATGAGGCATCGTGGTCTTGCCTCTTGATGAGGGGAGGTGGTGCATCATGGCAGGTGCACGGCTGTAGTGCACCCTGCAGAATGACGTCCAGCAGGGGAGCCTGACCATGAAGCAGAATGGGAAGATAAGGCAGCTGAACTACAACTCTCATGAGGCACCAGAGTGGCATTTCAGAATCAATTTATTTTGGCTTTTGTCTGAAATATTTCAATTTTCAGGCTTCAGTTTAAAAAATTATCCACAGAAAGCTGACACTTTGGGTGAGAAATTCCATTTAGTCAAAAACCTAATTTTCTATTGAAAAACAATTTTGAAGGAAAATTTCTGATTAGCTCTAATTGTACCCTAATTCTGTTCCCTCACCTGCAAAAAACAACATGGAGGCCCTGAGAAAAATTCTAGAGTGCATGAAGAGACACTTTCCATGTATTTGATCATACAACCCCAATCCACTGGCAGCTCTTACACATCCTCCTCTGTTCAGACTGCTCATGCTCCAAGAATAAGTATTTTGCCCACATGGGAGTTCTGAGGGCATTTCCAATGCAGCTGAAATACAGTCACAAATTTGTACTGACTCTGGTGCGTTTGTTTGCAGACTGCTTTTTTATTTGGGGACCAATGGAGGCGGGGAAGGGAACACAAGGAGAAGGGGTCATTTGGTGGGTGGGATAGTGAAGAGTAACAAAATTTGGCCTATATCCCATTAATATTAATAGGAAAATAAATGTTGGGGTTTAAAGAAGTCAGGTGTCCATTTAATAAACCTCTCTTTCATTACTAAAGGGGACAATACCATTTTTATAGCGCAACAGAAGTTTCTGCTGCAATTGGTTATTCATGGGGAAAGGGAGTAAGTCTTTATTAAGTTTGTACACAGTGTTTAAAGAAAGGAAGATGCTTCAGTTCAAATCCAGCCCAGGTTGTTAAAGAATAAAAGTTAAAGCTTGTTTGCAGGCCTGTGTAATCTCAATGTGCTTCCTAGTGAAGGTCCACCTTACAAAAAACACTTTAAGCAAGACTAGGGACAGAAACTCTGAATTACCTCTTCACCCTGGCCTTGATCAAACTTCCACTGTAGTTAATGGGAGAGATTTTCCACGCGAGTTGGATCTACTCCCGTTAGAGGAGATCCTAGTCTCCAACCCAGAATTGAGGAACACTGGCTTGTCTTAGAGAACAATGGCAAATTACAAGGGGTCTGCAGATACACAGAGTACTTCTGTTTCTGGGGCTGTCAATCTAGAATAATTCAAAAGCACTAAATCCACTTAAGAAAATAGGAGTGGGCTGGTGAAGACTTTCATGAAAGATTGTGTAAAAGAGATTATGCTGAGAGATAGATTTGCAGTTGCATCCTTAATAGACAAAATCAGTTTTATACTAAGAGAGCTTAAAAAAGCCTGAATACAATGTTACCAAAGTAATTTTGTGAGAAATTGCTTTTCTTTTCTTTTTTAAATCTTCGAAGCTTCAAACATGGATTCTGCCAGTAAAATTCATCTGTAAGATTACTGAAAATACTTAAAGGGACATTTTCAAGATAAAAAAAAAATCACAATAAAAAAATTGTTACTGTTTAACTAGTAGCAATTTTGATTATTAAAACAGAAGAGATTTTAAGAATTCACCTCAGTGATCCTTACTCATGCCAACAGTCCAACTGGGTTCAACGGATTACTCTTGAAGGTAAAGGTGCAAGGTCAGGACCTCAGTTTGCTTTTTGTCTTTTATGCTATTTATTATTAATGTTTCCTTCAGCTTGCACAATGAAACTAGTCTGGCAAGCATTGCTTTTGGCCCCAATCTTGCAAACACTTAAGTAAACGTGTTATAATATATGGAGATATACCTGTCTCATAGAACTGGAAGGGACCTTGAAAGGTCATCAGGTACAGTCCCCTGCCTTCATTAGCAGGACCAAATACTGTCCCTGATAGGTAGGTTTGTTTGTTTGTTTTGTGCCCCAGATCCCTAAATAGGGCCCTCAAGGATTGAACTCACAACCCTGGGTTTAGCAGGCCAATGCTCAAACCACTGAGCTATCCCTCCCCCCCGTTAATTTATTTACAAGACTAGTTCTATTAAACAGGATTGGGAGCCTTTGTTTAAGGGCAGCTTCTCTTTAGGATTTGCATTCACTAACACACTGGCTCTCAAGCTGAGGGTGACAATCACCACTGAGATCATGAAGAGGTCCAAGGGTGTAGTGATCTGCTTTCCTGTTTTTATGGCTAGTTGGAAGGAGGAATCCTGAAACTTTCTTCTGATGTAACATGGGGTCACATAGAAAAGGTAGAGAACCAGTGCACTATCACAGAGTTACTGGGGAAGGAAGTCTACATTTCAATGGACTATTAAAATGATTATTTAAAAAGTCCTTTAATTAAATAATAAAACATACATCATTTACTAAAATTTAAATAAATCCAAATAATTAGAAACAAATATTTCATACCTGGATATTCAAAGAGATACTAATCAGAAAATTTCCAGTGATTGCCAGCAAAACACCCAAGAGCTGAGTCTGCAAAATTTAATTAAAAAACAAAGAAAATTAAAACATTGCTACTTATGAATTTATACAGGGTAATAGAACAGAAGGATCCTGCTAACACTTTTGTGAAAGGATAAATCAGGAATAAAAACCCCCAAGTAATTGATTTTTTCAGTTATTGAATTCATGCCTCACTAAGTAAATCAATGAGGAAAGCCTCTGCCTGAATACCCATAAAGATAATGAAGATGGTGCATTCTGCCTGCGACATGAGCAGTAAACAACTGTAAATTGAAATGTTATTCCATTGTACAGTTGTTTTTGCCATCCTTTGACAGAACACATTGTATTATACCCAAAGAAAGTTTGATAGCATTTGAGAAAATGTTATACTGACGTGAATTTTTTTATACAGCTAAGAATGTTTAACAATTTTATTATAGAGGCTAGAATCGAAGTCAACAGCAATCAGACTGTGCACACCACAGCACAGTCATTTGTGTACTAATGTATTCATCATATGACACATGACATCCAGCAACACATGTATCCTGATAACTTCCTTAATGCATTTTGTTATTTCATCACATTCTGTTCGAGTTGGGATGTCTGCTTTTCAATAAGATTTGCGAACTTTACATAAAGTTGGGAAATTCAAAAAATAAAAACAGCATATATTATTTGGGGAAAAAAAGATATTTAGGTGCTACTTCAGCAAGCTCAAAGGCCAGACTACACTACAAAGTTACCTGTGTGGGTGCACCATGTTATAACAGTTGTATCCTGATCATGGTATAATACAGTTTGGTCTTGGCAGGGTGGAAACCATGTTCTAGTACCATGTGTCACTGTTCAGGAAAACTGCATCTCTATTCCCCCTCTATGGTCCAGCAAGGGCCCCACTCTCAGGCTTCTGGTTCCCAAGCAGTTGTCTTTCTCCCATCTGACTTGGGTATTCCCAGGCTGAACAGTTCCCTACCTTCACTTTTCCCTACCCATCAAAAGACAGGTTTCAGAGTAGCAGCCGTGTTTGTCTGTATCCGTAAAAAGAACAGGAGTACTTGTGGCACCTTAGAGACTAACAAATTTATTCATGGGCTACAGCCCACTTCATCGGATGCATAGACTGGAACATATAATAAGAGTATATATACACATACAGAGAAGATACCATACCAGCTCTAAGAGGCTAATTAATTAAGATGACCTATTATCAGCAGGAAAAAAACTTTTGTAGTGATAATCAAGATGGACAATTACAGACAGTTGACAAGAGGTGTAAGGATAGTTATCATAAGGAAATAGATTCAAGTAGTGTAATGACTCAGCCATTCCCAGTCTCTATTCAAGCCAGAGTTAATGGTATCTAATTTGCAAATCAATTCAAGCTCAGCAGTTTCTCTTTGGAGTCTGTTTTTGAAGTCTTTCTGTTGCAAAATTGACACCTACAGGTCTGTTACTGAGTGGCCAGAGAGGTTGAAAAGACATCAAAAGACAGTCTGTCTAAGCAGGCCTGCTTGCTTTTTCTTCAGAGACTAATAAGTTGCCCACATTTATAAGTGACCATACAATTCTACCTAAGCACACCTATCTTATTCTTAAAAGGGAAAAGCATTAGAGAGAAAAGATATTAAAAACAACAAAAGAATCTAAACACATGATAAACTTACCAGAGATCACCCCCTCCAACATGGGCTCTGGCAGAAGCAGTCCTTCAAAACCCCACCCCAGGGGTTTTCCTGTGGTTTCAAGTTCATCACACTCTTTGCTCAGAACAAGAACACAGGCTTACGGGGCCTCAGTAGGCCAAAGTCCTTCCAACCCTTCGTTAAGGATTGGGGCCCACAGGAGGGCCTGTCAGTTGGCTGGATCAGAACAAAAGCCCTGAGTCAGTTACTTATCCCAAAGTCCTTTCTTTGTCTGCAGGTCTCTGGAGAATCCAGTCTGAACTTCTGAAGAGACCCTGAATCAGTCAGACAATGGGTCTCCTCCCTAGAGTGAAGACTCAAAAAGGGTGATAGCTGGAGGAATTAGATCAGCATGCCCCCTCTTCCTAGAGAAGTTACATACACTCTCACAATAACCAAACAACTGCATTTTTAATGGACCCCAAAGGTATTAAACTTAATGTAATAAGGTTTAATTTAATTCAAAAAGGTTTATCTAGGATATTGCTACCAGGGCCGGCTCTAGGATTTTTGCCGCCCCAAGCAAAAAAATTTTTGGCTGCCCCCGCTTTTTTTCGTGGCCTCCTGCCCCCGGCTCCGCCCCAACTCCACCCCTTCCCCAAATCCCCAGCTCCACCTTCTCCCCCAGGTATGCCGCATTCTCCCCCCCCATTGCTTCCTGCGGGGCGCCCCCCGCAACCTCCCGACGTAGCTCACCTCCGCTCCGCTTGCTCCCCCGGGCGCGCTGCCGCTCCGCTTCTCCCCCCTCCCTCTCAGGCGAGGGAGGGGGGAGAAGCAGAGCAGCGGCGCATTCAGGGGAGCAGGCGCAGCGGAGGTGAGCTAGGGTGGGGGGCGCAGGAAGTAACGGGGGGGGGTAGAGGAACCGCTCCCCGCTCCAGCTCACCTCCGCTCCACCACCGCCGCCTCCCCCAAGCGTCTCTCTGCGCGGCTTCTCCTCCCTCCCAGCCTTGCTGCGCGAAACAGCTGTTTAGCATGCGGCAAGCCTGGGAGGGAGGGGGGAGAAGTGGAGCGGCAGTGGCGCGCTCAGGGGAGCGGGCAGAGACGAGCTGGGGCGGCAGGGACACTTTTCCCCCATGCCCCGGAGTCGGTGCCTATGATGGCCGGCGCCAGAATGCTGCCCCTAGAAATGTGCCGCCCCAAGCACCTGCTTGTTTTGCTGGTGCCTAGAGCCAGCCCTGATTGCTACAGCCCTTTGGTCTTTGTCCAGACTAGGATTTAAGCATGGTGCTAGCATGCTAGCTAATAGGCTAACACATTTCAGTCTAGCGCAGGCAAGGCAGTGTATACTTTAACACTGTGCTGGTTCAGCTAGCTCAAGTCTAGCCTCTCAGGTTATGTCTACACTGCAGCTGGGAGGCAGGGTGACCAGGTGTCCAGTTTTCGACTGGAACACCTAGTTGAATAAGGACCCTGGCGGCTCCAGTCAGCACCACCAACCGGACCGTTAAAGGTCCGGTCAGCAGTGCTGCAGCGCTAAGGCAGGCTAGTCCCTACCTGTCCTGGTACCGTGCTGCGCCCCAGAAGCAGCCAGCAGGTCCGGCTCCTAGGCAGGGGGACTACGGGGCTCTGTGCACTGCCCCCTGGGGGGGGCAGTGCCTGCGGGTGAGAGCAGCACACAGAGCCTCCTGCCCCCACATCTACTAGCGCTGGACTGCTGGCCGCTTCTGGGGCGCACGCTCCTCTACACCGTTGACTGGGAACTAACCAAGGTAACCCTGAGTCCCAACCCCCGGCCCCACCCCAGAGCCTGCACCCCCAGCCCAGAACCCTGACTCCCTCCTGCACTCCAAGCCCCTGCTCTAGCCCTGTGAAAGTGAGTGAGGGTGGGGGAAAGCAAGCCACCGAGGCAGGGGAAATGTAGTGAGTGGGGGCGGTGCCTCAGGGGGTGGGGAAGGGGTGGGGCCTCAGGGAAGTGGCAGGGCTAGGGTATTCGGTTTTGTGCCATTAGAAAGTCGGCAACCTTAGTGGGAGGTGTAATTTCCAGCTTGAGTAGATGTACGTTTCCAGCTCTGCTTGAGTTCGTGTGCTAAAATAGCAGTGTGGCCATGTGAAGTTTAGCAGTTAGCGCTAGGGTTGCCAGGTGCCCAGTTTTCAACTGGAAAGCCCGGTCAAAAAGGGGACATGGCAGTGTCCAGTCAGATGTACTGACCAGACACCAAAAGTCCAGTTACCACAGGCCGGGGGGAAGAGGGCCCTGGGTTATCAACCTACCTGCATCTCATGGGCAGGCAGGCAGCAGGCTCCATGTCAGGCTGCAGCTTCGAAGCAGAGCGAGCCCAGCTACAAGGAAGGGGGAGAACAGCGAGTGATGGGTAAAGAGAGGGAGAGGAGCGAGCGGGCAGCCTGGAGGAAGAGGTGGAGCAGGGGATAGGGCCTTGGAGGAAGAGGTGTGGCAAGGGGGGGGTCCAGTTGTCAGCAATTAGAAAGTTGGCAACCCTTGTTAGCACTCTAAAATAGCAACGTGGCACAGGTGGCAGCTCAGGCTAGCCACCTGAGTACTACCTAGGGTCTTGAACAGGCTTGTACTTGGGAACTAGCCTAAGCCGCTGCAGCCACACTGCTATATTTAGCATGCTAGCTCGATCAGAGCAAGCATGTATACATCTACCCAAGTTGGCAATTATACCTTCCAGCTGCTGTGTAGACATACCCTAACTCAACCAGCCCAACATGTGATAAGGTATACACTGCCTTGTCCATATACGGCGAGTTATATGGGCCCATGGCGCCCATGCTCCACCAATATTCAGGAAGGTGGGCCCGGCTCCACCAATGTTTGGGTTATATTTTCAGAGCCATCCCGTCAAAAGGATGGACCGGGTCAACTGCCTCGGGCCCTGCGCTTTGGTGAGCTCCGTGCTTTAGGGGGATGCGGGGTCCAGGGGGGCCTGAAAGGTTAGTGGGGGGCCTGGCAGCAGCAAGTGACCTGGCCCCAGCCCGCTCCGCCCTGCCTCTTCCCGCCCCTGCTCCACCCCCCCAGGTAAGAAATTATATTATCAATTTAGGCAATTTTCAGAGCAAAGGCCAGGTCTTCTTCTGTCTTGTATGCAGCACCAAGAAAAGTGTTGCCACTTAATAACAGAATGAAGGAAAGAACTCAAGCTTTTTCCAACTCAGAGCATAGTTTTCTCCAACTCAGAGAGTCTTCTAACAACAGTTGTTTAGCCAAATACTCGAGTCCTAGCACTTGCTGATAATCTTCCAGAATTGTCAGCCTGTTCCTGCACACTCTAGTTTTAGCTAGAAATGTAAACTAGGGTTACCATATTTAAAAAATAGAGGATACTCCACAGGCCCGGGCCCCGCCCCTTTCCCACTCCTGGCCCCGCCCCAACTCCACCC